GGAAGTTTATATGGTAGGTGTTGTGTCGCTATTGTTGTAATCGCCATGGCGCTACAGGCTCCAAATAAAAGCCAGAGACAATATTCCTCCTACGGTCCGGTTTGTGTGCCCGCCGCGTCCCCTACAGCTACATCCATCTCAGCAGTGTCCCTGAAATTTCTATGGATCATCAGGGGGAAAGACAAGCTAATCTGAGCTGATTTGAAATAGGACCAAAACACTGGCTTTCCTAATCCTTCTTTTTTATTTGTTATCAGGGGCAGTGAAGAACATTTTACCCCTGTGGGAGGGAAAGAAAGAGGGAGTTATTTCATGCTTCGCTGATTCTACTGTTTTTATGAAGACTTTTCTTTTTTTCTGAACCCCCTTTTTCCATACTTCAATCCATAGTGTAACTAAATTTATTAAGCCAGTATGCAGTACTCCAACACACTATATAAGGGCTGAGGTGCTTCTCATAATTAGGAAGGCGCAGATGGCTCTGCTCTTTTCTCTGTAGTAGCAGCAATTTAACTTTGAAGCAGATTAGACTCTGTATCTCTGAAAACGGGCGGTGCAATTTCCTTTGCTGTCGATTCATTTGATTCATTTGACAACTGGCAAACACATACGACACCAAGGTTATTATTTGCTTCCGGAAAATGCAATACGAAGTCTCCAATTTGGATTAAAGCACACATTTTGTGGGATTCAGATAATGTCAATGTAGCCACTTACATTCTCTTAATCGGCTGATAGTACAGTTTACCAACTAAATAAACACATCTGGAGGAAACTTTAGGATAATATGTCAGGTGTGAGAATGACTGGATTTCTTTTTTTAAAGGAAGGTTTTGTGGATTGTTTACAAGTCATGTTTTAAAAGTAGTGGATAACTATTTTAATGACCTCAACTCGACTAACGCAAAATAAACTTCCTGTCATGTGACCTGTATAATTTGATTCAGTAGGTATCTGTATGGTGACACCACAAACGAGTAGCTGTGTTTCGTCCAATTGTCATGTGAATTTTGAGCGAACTTTTAAAATGTAGCAGGCTGCTTTTTCTGAACAGCCCGCTTACCTCAAGCGAACGTAAAAACGATTTTGTGAAATAGCGGACGTTATTTTGAATTTTGTCATTTCCATCGACCTTTTGGTAATGCAAAAACACTTCCAAATGGACAAAAAGAAAAAAAAAAAACATTGATGAAAAAATTGTTTGACACAAATGGAAAAAAGTGTTTTTTAATTAGCCACTATTTGTCATTGGGCTGCAAACTAAATCCCATAAGTATGTAGTTTCCATAAAATAATTATTGTACACTTAAGAATATACAAGAAAAAGTTGTTCCTTTTTATTTACAATATATTACTGGGAAGAATTAGGTAAATAAAAACACAAAATAAGCATTTCTCCAGAAAACAAGTGGAGTAATTATGAAGCTTTGCAGTTGTGAAATTGTGTGGGATTTCTTTTTTTTTTTTTCATTAGCAGAATATCGGAAATGTTTTGTACACAATGTAATGGAAACTCAGCTGATAACCATTAACTTTTATTTATCCAAGCTTCGAATGAAAACTGGGAGATCGTAAACATGAACGTCTTACTTTCAGAAGTTTAAATTTAAATCCATGATATTTTTGGATAACAAACGTCCTGCTGTTGTTGGTAATATATGAAGCCACGTTGTTTGCAAAGCAGGGTAAGTCATCTTCCTTGGAGCAGAGAAGAAAAACTCAGCAGCTGATCCGCTGTAATGTATTTTTCTTATTTTCGCCAACGGTGTAGTGCAGCAAGCAGAAGCAAAGAGGAAAAACAGCACATTGATCTGCGCTGATCTAAAACACTGCAAAAGGCACGGCGTATAACAAGCGCCATGAAATTTACACTGTAAGCTGTGGCAACACAACAGCGTGGGTCATCATAAGACTATGAATTACTGGAACACCTCTGTCTCAGAGGACCACTTGAGGCTCCCTCACTGTGAAATAATTGGGTTGCAACAGTGAAACTGCTACTCCAGTTAGAGTGCAAAGGTGGCTTTTGCTCTGTTTTGCTGTTACAATACCGCAGACACGGCGGTGACTATTAATCAATCCTTGACACGTGTAGCTGACGGCACAGGAAACCGGTTGTGTATGTAAGTGGGGAAAAAACTCCAGCGTGGATGTGGAAATGATCCTTTGTGTATTAAAGCCGAGGATAGGAGCGTTCTGTTTTATCTGTGGTTAAATAGTTTTATTTGGATGTAAAAGTTTCAATGTTGCCTACTGAAGCTGGCTCAAACTTTGTAATCAGAATACATTTATGGTTCAGTAGATTTGAATACAAAGATAATTGTTTTCAGCAATTCAATTAAAGAATTGAATAATTATATAGATACACGTATTTCAAGATTTTATTTCTATAGATTCGAAAGGTTATGGCTTAAAGTCTCAAATTCAGTTGCTCAGAACATTTATGTATTGCTTGATGCCATTAGACTTATTTTGATAAAGAATGCTATTTTTGGCCCAGACAGTCATTTGCTCACTCTTTTTATTTATATGAGAAGTTTTTCGGTCATTTCGTCCAGCCCAAAGCTGACATTTGCTCGATATTTGTAATGCGGCAGTTCAACGCTATGAAGTCTAACAGAAATTGCGTCATAAACAATGATGCCCCAAAGCAAAGAGAAGTTTGCCAAGCCAAATGAGGCCGATGTTAATATTGATTTAATATGTGGAGGTGACACGGACTGAGCAACTTTGTTCACTTCATTGGCTGCCATTACTAAATCTAAAACAGAGCAGAAAATCTATGTCACCGTTCACAATTTCTCCTTCTGTTTGCTGATTGGCCCATTTGAAATTCTACCTGAGAAATCCCCTTCAATGGGAGAAATCCCTGACAGGAGACGAGAATTGAGAGGAATTGCATAGGAAGGCCAGATTAACCAGGTTTCCTGAACACCTCAGCAGAGCCTCATGCTGATCGCCTCCATGTCACAATGCCACTGTGATGCAGTAATTCACGTGAAAGGAGCCTCAGCCAAGTATCAAGTTTCCACACTGTACAGTACATAAACTTATTTTATAGTAGGCTGACATTTATTATTTTTCCCCTAAAAAATCTGTTAGGATTCCATTTTTACAACGTAATTCTAATCTTCAGAGAGACTGCCATTTAGCAAGGCATTTTCTCCTCTTTTTAAACATTTTTTATCCATATTTAAACTCATTGAATCAAAGCGCTGGAACCGAATCCCGTACCTGGCACGCGTCTATACAAGACACCTCATCTGCAGCGGGCAGATTCAGCCGCCTGTGGCAGGACCCGGGCCGCCTGCGATGAGGGACATCTCCCTTTGTTGTCAGGACACCTCTAAACATCTTTCAGGGAAACAATTACCATACCGTCTGCAGCATTCCTGCCAGCGTGTCGCCTGCTATCACACCGTCAGCTTCCCTTTTCCCTCTTTCTTGTCTCACGCTCACATCCTTGCGCTGACCGCTGAGGAGGTAGGACACCACGAATCCAGAACCGGCTGGGTTTAATTGGGTTAATAATATATTTAAATTCAGATTTTGAGGGGCTTTTTCTCTCCGCACAGCGGATAATGCAGCTCTGAAAGGTGGACTGAATTGGCACTAATCTCTTCCCTGATTTGCTTTGAGCACTTGGTGGAGATGGAATACTGATCAAGGTCCTCGCATATATTTTCGACAAATGTAATAAAGCTGTTGTATTATAGAACCTGATTTCCGTTGCTGAGAATAGGTTCCATAAAGGAAATGGATAATATCTGCAGCCATTGTATTTGTAAAGCCCATAAACAACACCAACAATAGTTAATCTTATAAATATATATCATACAAAAATGCATGAGTGAACAATGAAGAAGAGGTGCTACAATCTAATGCATTTTTATATATTTCAATGTAGGAACATAGTGCCATTTTATAGCACAGTCAAGAAACTGTTACATTCAGTTGTAAAAATGCTGCATATATCAAACTTAAAAAAGTTTGGGTTTACATCTTAGCCGCATCTGATCCCTGCATCATCTGTTCCACGCTGTTTCTCCATTGAAGGTGTTGAAACGAAGCTCATCTTCCACATATTCTGGGTATTGCAGGTATTTGTGCTCTGCTTGTCCAAACATCTCGGCCAACTCAAACCGTCATCGTGGCTTCTCGGTATCAATAGCTGCGTTTTCATTACCCATAAAATTGTGCAACTTGAAATTACTAAAATAAATTTGCTCAATGAAAACATGGGAGTTTCAAAAAAAAAAAACTTGAGGTAAAAAGTTTTTGCATGAGGATGGGGGGGTTTTTCAGCCGTATCAAAATAGTTGTATTTCACAAAACTGCAAATTATCTTGTGCTGTAAGCGCCATGCTGCAGGCATGGGCTGTTGTTTCATTCAGTTTGTCTATGTTATTGTTTTTTTGTCCCTGTCAAGTAAACCTAAGAAATAAGTACATAAAATTATAATTGTTTCAAAATAATTATCATGTTGTATAATGCATAATGTTCACCACAACAAATTAAGATAAACCAAATGATGTGATGACCTGTTTGGTGGGTTTTAAGGAATTCAAATTGCACATTTGCATAAAAGCTTTAGAAGAATTAGAAAAAAGCACTACTTATTATTCTGACAAGTCATGTTGATTAACCATAGTTACTGTATTCTTAAAAGCCTGGCACTGAAAGGGATCAACACAAACCAATCTCCTTCACTTTTGACCACGTTGTTCTTTTCAGTCATGATTGGACGATAAATCCAGATGTTTTTATTTATTTATTTTTTTTACTTAAAAACTAAGCCATAGAGTTTACTTCTTCACTTGAAGCACAATGCAATAAAAAAATAATAAAAAGGGTCCTGACATTTGAACCAATCAGCCCCACGTTGGGTCCAATCGTCTCATCCTGATTGGCTCAGCACAACCACGTCTCAATGTACAGAGCCTGATTGCTTATAGAACGGCTGTCCGTATAACTCCGTTCTCCGTTCTCCCGCGCCACAGGTACCCCCGTTACCAGGGTAACAGCCACGGATGCCGATGATCCGGTGTATGGGAACAGCGCTAAGCTGGTCTACAGCATTCTGGACGGACAGCCGTACTTCTCCGTGGACCCAAACTCTGGTGAGTTCACCTTTTCTGCTTGTTGGGTGTTTTTGAAAACTTAATCTTGATTGTTTGGGCGCAGATGATGTCAGTGGGGTCTCTGTTCCACCTGCAGTCGAGATAAAAAGAAAGTACACCCTTCTTAAATCGTGGGGTTTTGTGTATTTTCCATAACCAGGGTTTTTGGAGTACTTAGTTTTCCTCCAGTGAGAGTGCCTTTTCAAATTCATCATAAGCTCTATGCAGTGAAATACATGCCTGTACCTTAAACACGAAGCTCACTTTAATCACTGCGACTGCTGAAAGGACGGCATAAAGGAGGACACCTCCATAGAACCAGCTCTTTATGCTGTTATGCCTGGCTTGGTAAGGCCACGCGAAAATCTCTGAGAGACAGAAATGTTGTTTCATTAGACTTAATGGGAGCTTTTAATAGAGTGTGGAGGCTCTTTATCAGTTTCTAACCAATGGGGAGTGTAATGTCATACAAAATGTAATGAATAAAAGCCACACCCATAATGGGAGCAAAAAAACACAGAAAGAAAGACAGAAAGACAGAAAGAAAGAAAGAAAGAAAGAAAGAAAGAAAGAAAGAAAGAAAGAAGCAGGCTTTCACAGTGAGATCCTGATTACATCTGAGGATGTTTTCAATAGTTTTCTTTTTAACACTCTTGCTGGGGAAAATCTTCCTGCACATTTTAATATGCAAACATTAGCTGCTTCCTTTTTGCTGTATGAGCCAATAAGGTGATCAAAGGTCGAGTTTTTACTGGTTCAGAAAAGTTTCTCCTAAGATTTCAAAACAAGAAGGCAGATAGTACGGTTGGATGAAAAGCGCCCCTGTAATAAGTGAGCTGTAAACAGCATTAGCATACACTTTGTCAGGCTTATGACATCTCATAAGTGTAATTTAGTCCATTTTAAGGTATTAAGGGATTTACAACCTCGCCTCCTGTGATTAAGGGTGTTTTCCCACCTGGTAGACTGGTAGACTTGATTCTATTGGGGACCAAAACTGCAACATTTGTTGCATTTTCAGCTGCTGTTGCTCACTTTCACACTGAACTGAGTAAAACCAATCACATTCTTTGAAAAACCTGTCCCCCTCCTCACCTGTGGTGGCGCTGCTGGAATGGACTGTAGGATAAACCTCTGAAGAAGACACTGAGCATTTACATTTCTTTTCAAAATGTAAATAAAAGTTCCATCCCATTTCAGTGGTTAGTAAAAGACCACGAGGCATTTCTCTTCTGAGTTCTATTTTGGTTTTATTTACCCAGAATGCCCTGGCCAGTAGTCCACTTATCCCTGAGTTAAAGCTACATGTCTCTGGGTGCTACAGGTGGCAGACCATCAGCAGGTGGAAACCCAACAGTTTCCTCGCCTTCTGGCCCAAAGATGATGATTCCCCTCCCCTCTCCAATTACATTAAAAGTGTATTAGTTCTTTAAAAAAAGAGAGAAAAAAAATCCATGACAAACCACTTCTTTGATGGCTTGTGCATCGACCAACATGTTGTTCGCCGCCATTCCTACATGGTTGTTTGGCAGGAGCAGCGTTCAGCAGGCCCATAAGGGACGACATTATCAAATGCCTGCTAAAGGGGGGAGCTGACAGTGTTGGTTTATTGCTTGAAAAGTTGTGCAACAACAACAGGACTGCAGGTAACTCGGCCCATCTGTTTTGTGAAACGCTTATAGATTATCGCTGCGTGGGGCTGGCGCTAACTCAGGCTGCCAGGCGCAACCATCCCACCCCCCATTACCCTCCTCCCCCCTCTTCGTCTATCGCTTCCCGCTCCAGCTGCTCACTCAAGCACGCTCCAGAACATAAGCCCTTATGCTGGGGCAGACATCACTGCTACTGGGGCAGCGGGACCTAACTGGAGGCGCCACAGGAAAATAATGTGTCACTGTTGTGATTTAAAAAATCAAAATTCCCTGTGTGTGATGAAAGGCAAATAGAAGACATGAAGATTTAAGATTGGTTAATGTCATCATGAACAGCAAATGGTTCATCCAGCATTTTGAATCAAAGTTAGTTTTCACAGTCTGGTAGGCTAACATTTGTTACATTTTCAGCTGCTGCCATTCGCTTTCACACCGCAGTGGGTCAAAGAAACCAAACCCTTTGAGAAACTGTTCATCCCCTCGCCTGTGGTGGCACTGCAACAAGAACCACTGAAAGAAACAATATAAAATCATCTGAAGAAGACACGGAGGGGAACGTCCTTTGTCACAAAATGTAAAGAAAACGTGGGAGAAAAATAGTAATTTTCTCATCAGAAAAGTTGGGAGATAAAATTTTTTAAAATGATTTATCTAGACAGATTGATGAATTGGAAATTGACTTCAGCAGTTTATTTGATGAAACAAAGGCCTGTTTTTGTGGGAAAGTTTATTTCTAAAATGGCAAAGTTTTTAACCATTGGAAAAACATGAAAAAAAGTGAAAACACCCTTTTTCATGAAAATGTTGACATATTATCCTCCAACCTCTAACCTGACCTTTTACCACAAACCCGACACACATAGCAACAACAATGGCGGATAACATGTTTGTGGCTGTGATCCAGCAGCAAAGCTTCATTCATTAACTTCAAGAAATCGTCTGTAGGCTGTTGTATCCGACTGATATGAGAAGGTTTACTAAAAACAGAACATCCTGTTGTTTTTTTGCTTTGCTCACCGTTAACATTACGTGTGCGCATGCTCCATGTTTAGCCCGACTTTCAGGTTCTGAGGAAGCAAAAATAGCATCTGGAATCGTTTTCTGTGTTTCCATGTGAACAAAAACATTCCTGGAAACAGTCACATGTGGGAATTTTGGAAAGCGACTGCATGTTTTATAAAAAAACAAAAATGCCGATGGGGCCTTAACGGGGTATTCACAGATCATAAAAAGAAAAAAAACTTTATTTTCAGTTTCGTTTTAAGTTTCAGACCAGCTGGTCACTGTTCAAGCCCAGACGAGCTGAAAATCACCAGATTCTGCTCACCAGCTCATTCTGTGATGCTAAGCTACACAAATGACATAACATTCAAGTCATGGAGCTCAAACATATACTCATTAGTAATATGTGGTTCGTCAGCAGGACGTGTGAAAGCGGAGCCTCCTTCAGCTGGCTGCTCATCCTGAACGCCAAACGGGCCGGCGCTCATACGGTGCTGTGTTCTGTAGCGTCACTGTGATGAATTCCAAAAGTAATATTAATAATTACTTCTCCCTTTCACAAACTCCGACACATCACGGTTCATAAACCTAACTCAAAACAGATTCCAGATTGGATCTCTAATTGCTTTCTCAGCCGACTTTTTAAGCACGTGTCTGTAAGCAACGTGATTAAATGACGGCGGAATCACATTAATAAGGGATGAGATGGAAATTGACGGCTCGTAATTTTGGGAAAAACAGAACACAATAAGCAACTTTGACGAAAGGCAGCTTCCGGATTTATGTACATAATCAGAAGGAGCGCTGGCATCAACAGAGGGAACTGGAAACCCGGCGTACAGTAGGTGTGGCCGTCCCAGAGCGGCGATGGCGGCGGAAGTGCGCTGAATGGACGTTCCTGACGATTAGCATTCACGTTTTGTTGCCGTCGCAGATGGCTCATTCAAGTGAGCCAGATGTTTTGATGAATGTTAATGGGAAATAAAAGGTAAGAAGAAAACAACCATTAGAATGCGTTTGACACGTGCAGCGACACGTCGGAAATGAAACGGGTTCAATAAATAAATAAACATCGTACCCCAATTCATCACTTGGTTAATGGTCGGTGAAGTAAGAAAAAAAAACGAAAATAAGGAAAAGTTGAGGAAAATATCTATGGAAATGAGTGTTTGTCTGTCTTCCCTTCTCGGTGATTAGGAATTAATTTGAATAATTAATGATGATCAACAGAGATGAGAGTGTTGCTGTTTGTAGGAAGTCTGAGTATCATTCTGTGTGTGTGTGCGTGTGTGTGAGACACTAAGTGTCTTGTTTGTGTTGCTCTTCGCAGAAGGGAGGCTGGCCTACCTTCTTGTTCTTGAGTGTGAGTAAGTGTGCTACAGATTGTTCATTTCACTGTTTGAGCTACAAATGTTGCATTTCCTAATGTGGATATAAATAGAATACATTAGAAGAAAATTGTACCATATGTACCGTCTCTACATATGGTACAGATGTCACAGTGCATGGAATCTGAATAAGTCAGCACTCCACACCAAAGCAACGCAAGAACGGCTGGTGGTGACACGATTTTCACTCTTATTTTTTCTCTTTTATTGCCACTCTGCAATGCCTAATCTGGCCTAATACTGACGCACTGAAATTATTCCTTTATTAAGAACCCCTCAATATTACACAAAACAAAGACCCAGAATGCATCAAAAGGCAATGTTTACTTAAATTATTGAATTTGAAAGTAATTTTTTCTTTTAAATTCAATGATTAAATTGTGTCTTTTTGTGTAAAGTCTCCTACTTTACAGGCGAAACCTTGACTTGAAAAGATCAAAACATTGGGCATTTATTGCTCTGTGCCTTTGAGTTAAATCTGTGTTGAACATAAACAATATAGGTGAAATGAAACACTCAACAGGTGAATCTGGAGTAGAATCTAAGATTTAACTTAAGAGGCTTAAAAAATATTGTGAGAATTACAGCTTTATTTAAGACAGTGTCCTTGTGTTCACCGGATCAAAAGGGATTAACCGTTATTCAGGTGTGGCCTCTTTGCTTGTCATTTGGCATGTAAAGAAAAGGCCTGTGGTAGACCAACAAAAAACCTCTTGATAAGAATGACAGAAATGTTTCAACAGGAGACGCTTTGAAAAGGGAATAGACCCGAGAGCCAAGGAGGAGCACGGGTTTGAGTGGTGCTACGAAGCAGGATTAGTGGCTTAGAGAGGAGTCTTCAGGTTTTATTCAGCATCACAAAGCTGGTTTTCACAACCTATTGTTGTGGGAGCGCAAGGTGGAAATCCTACGGTGTTTTGGAAAAGGTTTGATTCAATGACAAATACAAGCGTGAGCAATTAGAAAGTCACTTTTCAGCAATGAAACATTTTTCTGTTGCACAAATCGAATGAAACGCTTAAGAACTCTGGTTGGTTTGGCTAGAAAGTCCGGTTCATTTTCAGAGGTGTGAATGGAATAAAAGTCTGATGTGGAACAAACTCTGGTATGTCTGCAAACGTCAGTTGAAATGAACTCTGATGTGGTTCGAATTCATATGTGAATGTCAAACAAATTGGAGACCGCTCCAAAAGCAGGGAGTTTACTACAGCGCAGGGCATTCTGGGTAAATACAACCAAAAGCAAACATGCTAGTCCAGCGCCAGCAGCAGAAACGTCCCAAAAGCAAAAGAGAAATCCCACAACCGCTAAAATCTGATGCTATGACTTTTTTTTTTATTACATTTTGCGAAGAAATGTAATACCCCATTGTGTATAGTGTCGTCTTCAGAGGTCTTTTGTGTCACTTCCTTCAGTGGTTCTTGGTGCAGCGCCACCACAGGCGAGGAGGGGAACAAGTTTTTCTAAGGGTTTGGTTGGTTTGACAGAGCGCTGCTGAAAATGTAACAAACGCTGCAAATCTGGTTCAGTTGAACCGAGTCCACCAAACTATCAGGTGTGCAAAGATTATTAGCATCTGGAGAAAATACAGTTGAAAAATATCATTCAATATGATAAACAGTGGGTTTGATACAGGCCTGTATCTCTTCAGAAGTGACCTGTCTAGACTTCTCTTTTTACTTCAAGTGGCTGAATCACAGTTTTTAGGCATTGAAGATACTTGAAAGCAATGATGTATTTACTAAAATTTCTAAAGCCATGGAAAGTGCAACACTTAGAAAAAAAAAACTGTTGGCATAGTGTCAAGGCAGCAAGTGTAGGAATTCAAGTGATCTGTGATGTAACTTTGAAAACCATGTATAACTTCACCTATTAATTCCACTTTCAAACATAAAATACTAACTAAAGATATTAAAGATTCAGGTTAAAAAACGAATGCTTTTGCATGGGACTTTATGTAATTCACGGGTTCATGTTGGAAACCTGAGACTGAATCAAATGCAGCTTTATACTCATGTTACATTAATCAGACACAATGTATTAGACTGGAATTAACGTGGAAAAAAAATAATCATAATTGTGGATTTTAGATGCCTAATGAAAGACAACAAATGAAGAATTTTGATGAAGCCACTCGCTGCAGTGAGTCATTTTTAGCCTTGTTCAGTGGAAAACAACAGCTGGGGCTGTTTTTGAAAGATGAAAACATTCACCTGCGCCTTGACAACATCACGTTGGGAAACAGAGCAATTATACATAATAACACAGTTTTTAATGATCAGATATACTTGTGCAACAGAGCCATTGTGTTGATAGGAGTGGTTAATAAATAAAAGCATCCGCATAGTTTCTGGCCATTTTTATTTATTTTTTTTTATACCAACTTTTCTTCCTGCTTTGGCTCCAGCTGCTGTGTTCACATAAATAGTAGAATTCTCCTCTGAATTTTGAATCAGAATTCATCTTCCTGTTTTGAAATAGTCCCTTGACGGTCTCTGGTCATCTGAGAATAACTTGTTTTTCATTAGGTCTACATAGCTGACTTTTGAGTGGATACATATGTATATTTTTAAACTGCTTACAGTTCATTTAAAATGAGAAGATAAACATTATTAAACTGTAAATGCCAGATTTAGCCGACAGGTGGATTTTGGTTGATGATGTCAAACAAGAGGAGAAAATGAGATGCGTTGCATAAAGCCAACAAACACCTGACATAAGAGTTATATGGAAATGACTAAAGTATGTTGGAAATAAAAATACGTATAACAGTACACACACCCCTTAAAATGCTGGGGTTTTGACAAATAAAAGAATCAAGTGACCTGTGGTAGCAAAAGTCCTGAAAGCTGAACTTTAGCTAAAATGAATCAGATTCTTTAAATCTGAATGTAAGAAAATTGAAAGCTAAAACTAAACCTGATGGCACATCAAGACAGTGTTAGCTTAGGGTTAAAACAAGGCTATTAGGACTATTTCTAATGTATTTTAATGTAGTAAATATGAATTTTCATTCAATTGCACAAGATAAATGTTAAATTATGAAATAATCCAACAGAGTTGGATTTTATTTAACCCCTTAACCTGCACTAGAAGCCTGCGTGCCGATTTTCCATTGTATTTTCCGGGGTTGAGGGTTAATCATACATCTCTTCCTGGACCAAAGAGATGTGTGATTATTACATTCATCTTGATATTGCATGTTTTGTGGATATCATCTTTTTGGTGAATAATACTCAGACTTGGAGGGGGATGGATAACTTGAAAAAAATGATATTGCAGTCTTGTTTTTTCTCTCTTTTTTTAGATTTTAGATTTTCCTAGCAGTTCCAGTCAAAGTACAGATTAAAGTGTCTCCTCGGCTGATTTGCCTGTTATGTTTACAGACAATGTTGACTGATGAGGTTAGGTAGCCTAGATATGTGCCGGTATTTTGTTTCTGAAGGACCCGAAGTTCACGTTAAGGGACCCATAAACAAAGATAAACAGATTTTTTTTAAAAATCATTTCTGCTTATAAGTTAGGAAAACTAGATAATACTCAAAGAGAAAATGTTTTATAATATTAAAAGGTCTGGCTTTTTTAAAATATAAAATACAAACTTTTTTCCTTTATTACTTTACATGCCATATTTTGTTTAAAAATAGTCTCACAACATGAAATAATTGAAGATTTTAGTCAACAAATAAAAAAATATTTCCCGGTACATCTGGTTTTCTTAAAACACATTGTTTTGCAAGTAGGCAAAAAATATTGTAGGAAGGTGGTTCATTCAGTTTTAAAATTATTTCTTTACTTTTTAAAACTATGTTTAAAAAAGCCACTAGGGTTTTTTGTGGTGTGGCTGTTGCTCTAGAAAATATTCATACGAACGTCCAGACCAAAGCAAAAAAGCATTTCTGTTGCACATTTTTTATTTTCCATTTGTAAATGCATGTTTTTTTGTTTTTTTTAATAAAATAAGTAATCATATTTAGTTGCACATCCCATGGATCAGAAAACGCTATGTTATAAACTGGTATGGCATATTTTTACTGTAAAGGTGATAATATACTGGGAAATAGTTCATTATTATTTTATTATTCTTATTCTTGGTTTTTTATATATATTTTGAACACTTTTTGAACCTACATACTTTAATGTTGCTCTTACATCTGAATTTCCATCTGAGTGGAGCATTAAAACATATTTCAATTCTGTTCTATTTATTGTAATACATTGAAATGGATTACAAATTGTGGTCATTTTTATTTAAAGTAGGTTTGAAAACCTTTCCAAGGAACTGTAAATGGCTAAATATGTTAAAAAAAATTACTAGTTAAACATCTAAGAGAAAAAATATTTGAAATAAATAAAGAAGAGTTGTGTTGATCCAACAACCCACCAAGACTGGAAGGTGTTTACCATGAATTACTCATTCCTCCAATGCCGTCAGATTGCAATTCATCTCCCTCACCTCTGCATTTAGTTAGAGAATCGCTTTTGTGTTTGACCTCCAAAATAAAAGTGCCCTTGAATTTCTGAGCGACAAAGAGAGAGGGAGAGAGAAAAAAACAGCTATCTAGGGGAAAACAAGCAGGCAGCTGAAAGCAGCCTAACCCCTCCCATGTTTCTCATCATAGCCAAGCATATTATCATTGTCTGGGGGAGCTGAAGACCAAGGCAGGGTGTCAAGCCAAAGCCGGGCTTTTATGAGGGGTTTTATATTCATTTGATGATCTTGCAGGCCTCTGTTTCCTGAGTGGATTATCCATATATGCCAGTGCTGAGCCCTTTTTATATTCACCACTGCGGCAGAGTCAATAAGGTCCGTTCTGCATACAATATTCAAGATTATACAAGACAGACAGCATAATTCACACTCAATCAGAATACAAATGACTGCAGACAGCGGGAACAACTCATTGGAAAACAAACAGATGATTCTCAGGACTGGGACCGGATCAGTCACGACCAACCTTTCTACACGCTCACAGGCGACACTCTTTAGAAAAAGACGAGGACTGGCGGAGAATTCGGTCTCCCTGCTTAGTGTGACTTCTTTGCTTTTCAGCGTCGAGGCCCAGGATAACCCCGGATGGTGGCGAAGGTTACCGCTGGGCTTTAATCTTCGCCCTTCGCTTCCTTGAGCGTCATTAATTTGATGTGCAGAGTATATCAGTCATGTTGTTAATTGTGTGTTATGAACTGTTCCCTCCTGCAGCCACCATAAAAATCGCTCTCCATGGGATGGATCGGGAGGTGAAAGAGGAGTACTTTGTGGTCATCCAGGCTAAAGACATGGGGGGTCATATGGGCGGCTTGTCTGGGACGACCACAGTGACCATCATGCTTACGGACATCAACGACAATCCACCCAAGTTCTCCAAAAGTAAGGCACCTTACATCCTCCAAAGACCCAAATCCAATAAAAAGATGCTCCATCTGCGTATTTCCTATAATTAGGCAAAATAAATGCTTCCGAGGCAATGTCATCAAGCAACTCCTTGGAAGGCAATTGTGCTCACTGCTGTAATATATCACAATATCACAATGTGCCCACGTATGTGTAATTTTGGTAATTTCATTAGGATTTCTGGAAAACCCAGTGGCTATTCATTTCCTCTGTAGGCTTGTACGAGTTTGGGATCCCTGAGGACCTTCCAATAGGGAAGACAGGCGGCAAGGTGAAGGCGACCGATCGAGACATCGGTGAGAACGCAAAGTCAACGTACAACATCATAGAGGGAGATGACCTTGGTACGTTCGAGATCATCACCGACGCACAAACACAAGACGGGATTCTTAGACTAAGAAAGGTAAGAAACAAAACTTTACAAAACCTTCTTCTCTCTGGACATTTTGGATAGGTCATGCTATTTCAAAAACTATTCAAGTGTCTCTTAGTAGTGTATTTATTTTTTTTTTTTACATTGTCAAAAGTATTTGTTCACCCCATCAAAATTGTTCCAATCACTTTCTTAGCCAAGGGTGTATAAAATCCAACACCTTGCACCCTAAATAGTGTACCATGGCTACCATATTTCAGTCAATTCAATAGCAACAGACCTTTAGACTTCACTTGTTCATAAAATTACTGCATAAAAACATTATGAAACGGGTTCACATGGATAAATAACTACATTTAGGCCTTACATCACTAAGTCCAATGGAATTCATCACAAACAAAAGCAGTAGAAATGTCCTGTTTGGAGTGAAGACTCATGTATCTTGGTCTGGGTTTGGCAGTCACCATAATTGTCTGGATGCATTGCATCTGTCACGATCCATGTTTCTGTGTGTTATTTTTGAGTTTATTTTGTGTGTAGTCCTGTTCCCTGTGAGTCTCTGTCCTGTCCTTCCCGTTGATTGTTCCCAGGTGTGTCTCGTTCCCTTGATTACCCCTGTGTGTATTTAGTCCCACCTGTTGTCTATGTTCTTCGTCGGGTCCTTGTCTATTGTCTAATGTATGTTGCATGCTGTCTTTGCGCTCCAGTGGAACTGCTAAGTCCTGGGTAGCGTCAGCTCTCGTCTCCAGTCCTGTGTATCAGTTGCTACCGGTATTTGGCTGTGTGCCTGTCTCTCTGCCGTGCTGCCTGTGTTGGACTGTTTTGAGCCTTCATTAAACTCGTCATCATCACCATAACCTGGGTCCTGCGTCTCTCCTCACCACCATCCACCACCGCTCTTGAAAGCATCAAATGTAGAGTTTGGTTCAAAGTGATGTAAGGTGTTGAACAGTTTTTTTAGAAGTTGTGTTCATCCCCTTAATTCAACTGATTGGAGAATTGGCTGTGGTGGAACTTGACCCCAACTCAATGGAAGACCTTTGGGATCAGTTAGAACAGAGAGAGAGAATCATGCATCTTTATCCAACATCAGTGTTTGACCTCACAAACAGTTCTGGAAGAAAGGTCAAAAATCCCCATAAAGAACTGAAGTTATTTTTACTGCAGAGTGTACTTCATTACATAATGATGAGACAATAAACAACACTGGGTTTCATGAGAAAGTGACAAGATTTTAGCATTATTTTTAGACTCATCATTTTCCTTAAGTTTTCTTGGGCCTAGAAAGGATTTGAAATTCCCTTTTTGGGGTTTCACAAATAGAATGAACATTTTACAAATTCACAACACGTGTTTTTAAAAATCTGTTCCATAAAATATCATCCAACTCTGGTTGGATCCGTTTAAGTATTATGAATTTTAAACTCGACAGAATCAAATGCCGTCCGAACTGTGAAATTTGGAAGCTCCAAAGCATGTGCTAACTCTATTGCTGCTAGTGGCTAACAGCTAATATTTTGAAGTGATTAGTATTTGTAGCTTGTCTGTAACCTTTTGTTCTATAAAGTAATCAAAATGTCAAAAGCCTTTATTTTCTGATGCAACAGAACAACTAAGGAACATTTTTTCTTTCTACTGGGTTCAACAAACGGGGAACACCAAATGACAGCTACTAGCAAAAATCTCGCTAGAGTGGCGGCAGCAACAAAAGTTGAACGTTTTTCAATTTTCTTGTGTTACCTCACCCATTTCTTGTGTTACCTCACCCATGTAAGAGTGCATGTTTACATGTTCAAGATTGAAATTGCACATTTACGCAATGGTTGCTTGGCTGGAGGAAAGAAAATGATTGTTGCTTCATTGCAGAAGTTCCATAGAAAATCAATGGAGATGGAGCGATGTCACCTCCCATGTGTCAAGCTCTTAATTCAAAATAAGTTTCTCAGACAGAAATACTGCAGTGTCAAACATAAAGCACAATGGTTTATATCTATAATATATCTATAATGTCCATTAAAAAAACTGGTACTTACTTCCGCAGATGGGCTAGTTAGTGCTTTGCCAGGCAACCGTCACCTTGACAAGAAATATCGTGACATTTAATATTGAAAGCCATCATGCTACAAGATTATGTTATAAAATTACACTAAAGAAGAAGTTTTTCCTTCAGGTCAAGATGTTATCACTTATCAGTGGCTAACTAAAACAATAATTTTGTATTATGCACAGAACTAAAGCTTAAAATGGTAAAACCTTGTTAGATTGTAAGAAAATAGCCAGTCTTGACTGATATTTCTTGTAAATAAAACACATTTTTGAGTGTTTTAATTCGGTATGCATGACAGATGGATATGAGAGCTAAGGTCCTGAGTCAGAGCTGCTTCAGTGTCTGCTAAGAGCAGCTGAGCATCACTCAAATCTGGAATGGCATTGTGTTGTCACATACAACAACATTACCCCAAGGACATGTCGTGCGACTTTGTGGAAGTGTGAACAATGAACCGCGTAGGAGGTGGAAGGTATAAGAGTTAAGGCAATCTTCCGGGACAACAACAACACAATGCCACTGCAGACAATATGAGCTCTGCAAAACAAATGTGACACTAAAATCATGAGATCTCCAACTGTCGACAAAGCAAATGTCACATCTCCTTGTTGTTTCTGGAATCATGTTCTGCAGAAACAGAGACTTTTTCGGGGCTGGCTCTGCTTCGTCTTTGTTGGCCTCTGAGTTTGATGCCTACATTCAATGCCTTTTCATACACCCAGCGGAGCCATATGGGCTTCCAATTGCAGTTTGCCACGAGGCATGTACAGGACACTGCAAACATTTCATGTGTTTGCTTTGGTGGTCTGGTGAGACGAGACTAAATCTGAACCTTTTGATGTGTGTGTGCTGTGTCTGGTAGACAAACAGTGCATCACCCCGATCAGATCTATCCCACTGTGGCCAATGCTACAGGGCGTCGGCAGCAAAGGGGAACCTGCTCAGTTCAGTGGAGATACAATAAACTAAAAACTTAGACTTGGTGTAAGATTCAAATTAATCTTAGTTTGCCACATCTCCTTAATATTCAAACTAAGTCTTAGTTTGAATCTAATCTGGTGTAAGGCAGCAAAACTAAACTCTCTGGCAGAACTAAAATGGAACAACTTAGATGAATCACATTCATGTGTTAGAATGCCCTAGTCAAAGTCTTGATGTAAATCTTTGCTAAACGTGGTGCTCTCTGTCTGTTCCAGGTGTGTCAACAGTTTGTTTACAACTTTATTCATATTCCCCTAATGTCGAAAAAACACAGTTTCGCAAATGACGTTTCCATTAAGTAAAAAACACAATTAAAATCATATGTGGATAAGTTTTGTTCACATGATAAGTCATTGGATAACATGCCTCGTCATCATCCTCCAACTACTCTTTGTCTTCTTGTGCTTCGCGCCAACGGCAACATCAAGTGGTTGATCATGAGACTTGCGTGATGCAAAAAAAAAAAAGCGCTTCCATTGCAATTTTATGAAATAAACAAACAGAAACACCTCCTCCTAGCGCCAAAACATTTGATCAAAGAACAGGATTTTATTTTAAAATTTTCCCATTTTAATTAAGCAAATTTCTCCTCGAAATGTCAATTTGCGCAATTATATTGTTAATGGAAACGCAGCTAGTGTGTAACAGTAAAAATGTGATATGAATACCTCCTGCAAAGCCAATGCCTTCTGGCTACAACCAAAGGGAAAGGTATAGATTTTTATTTTAGCCCTGGACAGGAGTAAATATTCTCCTGTAGCTCTAACTGCAACGTCCATCTAAATCAACATTTAAATTATTTAAGGTCTTTATGGTGAGATTAAATCTTATTGATCTAAGAGCAGAGATGGGCAAACGAGGGGCAGAAATCCTTTTCTGTTTGAGTTCTAAGCTTTTTATCTGTTAGCCCCCAGGCCTGTCGGGGGATGTTAGAGGGATGCTGAGCTTTCACCCCTGCAGCCAGCGGTGAACTTTCAAGTCTCTAAATGGCCTGCGTGTACATGCTGATTTGATGCTAACGCTTGACTGAGGCCAAAGAAAGACACAGTGGGGTTGTCGGGTAACATGCATGGGGGATGTTTGCTCAGTGGCGACAAGAATGTGTCTCTTTCACTGCGTGACTCGCCTCCTCTTAAGAAACAAGAAGTTAATTCACATTGTTAAGTAAGCCTTATTGGTACAGCCTTTTTAAGACATAGACCATAAAATGCAGTGCATAAAAAAGCTAAAAACATCCAATCATAAGAGGGTTGAATAATTAAATTAAAAGCAATTGTAAAACAATGAGTTTTTAGTTGTTTTTTACTCAATAGAGTCCACAGAACGTTCCAGAGTTCTGGAGCTACTGCTGAAAACGTTCTATCATCCTCAGTCTTCAGCACAACCAAACACCTTGATCACATGATTCAAGGAACCTGCTGGGGATATGATATATGTTGTAAGTGATAAACACATGAGCCAAATCAGAGACTGAACACGATGAAAGTAAAACCAGAGTCAAAAGTACGAAGAGTTTTCATCATTAGAGATGTTTTTCTGGAAGGCATACAAGACTTTCAGTTTTGTCTTCATTTAGTTTGGAAGCATTTTTAGTCATCAGGTTTTTATACAGTCTAAAGCATGTCTGTACCTCATAAGGCCTAAAGTAGACATACAATTGAATATCATCTGCGTATCAGTGATATGAGACATTTTAAAAAATACTCAAAAGCTTCTGAAGAGAGAGCAAGTAAACTAGAAACAGGGCACCAAAACAGAACCCTGAGGTACACCAAGGTGACGGTGGCTTAAGGAAAGCAGCAACACAGATTAAACAAAGAAAGATATGAAGAAAACAGTAAAGATCCTGATCCATCGGGCCAATCCCTCAACCTGTCAAGTAAGATCAGGTGGTCAACTGTGTCAAAGGTCAAAGTGAGGTTCAACATCAGACTGTTTACTTTAGACAGTGAACAGTCTGCACTGACAACATAGGTTTTACTACTGAATGTCATGACTATAT